AGGGATCTCCGAGGACTGTCAAGGTGCTTCTTGAGCATGGAGCCAATGTGGACACATATGATCACGAGGGCCGGTCGCCGATGACCTGGGCTGCCGACAACAAACGAGCGGATCTCGGCTTGATTATGGTTCGTTTGGCCCAAGCGTCCAACGGGGAACGCGATGACCAGCCCTCACGGCCTACTGTCGGGGTAGGCACCTATATCGGGGCAGGGGCCTATACCAGCCATCCGCGATTTAGATCCGGGATAAGTGATACGGACGTGTCCAAAGCCAAACAGATACAAACCCCACTGCCGACAGCCAAAATGCCCTAACTCCTAAGCCGGGCTACCGGCTCAGAGTAGAAAGCTGGGTCGCATCGATCCGAGGACACTGCTGCCGCTTCGAATACTACATAGGATACCACCTGAGTTCCAACAATTACAATCGGGGAGAAAGGTCTCATCGGCCACTAAAGCATGGTGTCGCGTCGAGTTCTCGCACAGCCGCTGCTCTCCGACCCTCCTGGCACCGTGGCAGCATCGGTTCGGCGGCCAACCCTTCGCCGCACGGCGCACCACATGGATTGACTCACACCGCATATATTTGGTGCTTGAAAAGAGGCACTAGAGGTACTGGGCAACTCTGAATCACACTTTGCCGATCCATCGAACTTGAGAATCAAGGCCTAGAAAGGTGAGATACTCGATTGGCACAGAGTCTGGGAATTGCTTTTCAGTCATATAAAGAAAGACGTATATACTGACACGCGGTACAAAAGCACGCTTGGGATGTCAGCTCGGGACGAATCCGCAATCCCTATCGATTCATTGCCAAATGCTATCGGAGATGTCATCCTGGTTCTACGAATCCCGCAATCCCAAGCGCAGACTCCCCTGACAAGGGCGGCGCTTCGTTCCAGGACGAGTTCTTGGATCGCTTGCCGGACTGGCAGCGAGAGGTGCACATCTTCTTCGTCGAGATTGTGTCGTCAACGCAACAGTTCAACTCAGATGGTGACATATGGATTCTCCCTAAGGACTTGTCCTCGGCAGCCCGGTGCGTGGGTGATTGTGCCGCCTTGGGCTCTTTTTACCGCAAGGGCACACGGATACAGCTGGTTGGATAAAAAGAGGATTCAATTCGTCTGGCGGAGCCATATTGCGAATTCTCTATAGCATGTCTCTTGGTGGAAACGTTGGACTACCTGATTGGATGCGTTCACCAACGAGGTCGAAAGACACTTCCGCACACTCCGATCATGGGGGAGGTTGAAAAAGCTTGGCATCGTCCCCACGCCTCGCTCGCACGGCACCTAACTTTCCATGGAGTGATTGGTTTTTGCTGACGCAAGGGGCTGATGTGACTAGAATCAAGGAAACGTGCTCGCGAAGGCACAGGAGAGTGGAAACGGGAATGGCGGGGCATTTGCGCCGGTTTGCAACTAGCGAGCCACGGGCGGTGACGATCACTGGCCCGCCAAGTTTTAGCGACCATGATTGGTCAATTGAGCACCTGAATAGGAGTCAAGCAGTGAAATGATGTCAACACTGAGGTCATTGGCACCGGTGCAGTGGTATTACGGAACCAGCCGTCGAGAAATGCAAATGACGCTGGCAAATATTGAATGACCGCATCGCACAACAAATACTTTATAGACCGGGCCTCAGCTTTCGACATCATTCATCCGTCACACCCAATTCCCACGGTTCTCAGTCGTGCAAGCCGAAAGCATGGACGGAGCCATCCCCGGCGCCTACCCCGCCACCCCTCTGGGCGACTTGGAGCCCACTCCAGCGCCAGCTGCCCCTGTGTCCGCCCCAGTGCAGCCCCGCCAAGACCATCACCACCACCACCATCATGATCACGACCACAACAAGCTGCACAAACCAGCGGACCCGCGTGGACACAAACACACCGATTCGGGTGTAGTCTTCGACTCCGACCCTATCCGCACTGCCAGGGAGCACGAGAAGCCAAGACGCCAACCGGAAGCCCCTCTTCCCCTTAGCAACTTTGATCCGACCGCCCAGAACCCGGTCGCTCTACCCCCGGCAATCCCCTATGCCGAACCTGTCGAGGATAGAAACGTCGACTTCGTCAAGCCCATAGACAAATCCGAGACGATCGATCACAGAGATAATACCACCCCGCCCCAGAAGTCGGCCAACACTGACAACACCCCCCCGTATTGGGGCAGCCTTCCGAAGTCGCACAGAGGCGGTATCTACAACACGGTGACAGGCCACGGCAGCCCCACAGATGACCATGACCAGCATCACCACCTGCCGCAACGTTCAGGCTCGAAGAAGGCGCATGTCGATGGTGACACTTCGGATTATCCAAAGGGTGGCGTTTATAACACCGTGACCGGCCATGGCAGCCATGACGAAGAGAGTCAACGTCATAATGGCGCTCCTTCCAGCGGCCTGGCTGCAGGCGGACAACGGGGTTCCGACGCCGGGGCGCTTACCGGTATAGTTGAAGAGCAGGACGCCCAGCCGTCGTCCGAGTTTGCGGCCACCGAGACAGGGAGGAACGACATTGCTCGTGGCTTTTTGCCCGAGACCGCTACGAGAGACGACGCTGTGCTGGCGTCTTCTCTCGGCGCCATCCAGAAGGAGCCCACGGTGCGTGCACCAGTGGACGCCGATGTCTCGCAATCCGCTAGTGAATTCCCTTTGAAACCCTCTCAAAAGGAGACCGTCCGTGGATCGTCAGATGCGGGCTCCGGTGATAGAGATGCCTCCATCGCTACTGCCGCAGCTGCCGGTGTTGGCATTGCCGGCATGGAGGAAAAGAACAAGCGCAACAAGCTGAAGAAGCGGGAAGATCCGACCACTGATGCGAAAAATGGTTACCACAGCAAGGATGACGCTGTACATCCTGCCCATCACAAGGATGAGTCGAGATCTGGAAGGCGAAGTAGTGACGAGGGTTCTAGCGGCGAGAAGAAACACAAGCTTCTGGGCATCTTCCACCGGCGGAAAGGCAGCAAGAGTGACAAGGATCAAGTCCACCATGAGAAGCCCGTCGAAACCAAGGAGGATCGCCATCACAACCACAAGAAGGAAGCTGCCGCGGCGGCCGCCGGGGCTGGAACATATGGCGTCCTGCATCACAAAGACGCCCAAAAGGCCAAGGATCGGTCTGCGTCGGAACCTTCGGCCGAGAAGCTTGACAGCCACCACGCCAAACGGACGAGTATGAATGAGTCCTCAGCAGCAACGACTGGAGCGTACGTCATGCCAGCTCAGGGCCCCGGGGCTGAGACTCGACATCAGATGCTACACGACTCGACTCATGGAAGCGCTCCCTCACCCCCGGAGCGGTCGTCCAAGAGACGAAGCTTGACACCACCGGCTCCGACTGCTGTCACGAGCGAAGCCTCGACGCGCAGCCCATCGACCCAGCATTCCGTCAGCGAAAGCGCCAAGTATGCGGGTGCGGGTGCCGCAGCCGGGCTTGGTGCCAGTGTCTTTGCGAAGAACTTTGACCAGTCATCCAAGTCCAGCGAGCCTAGAGCACGCTCGAGCGTGACGTCGCCGGATTCTGGTGTCGCCCCTACAACCTTCGAAAATCCTCGTGAGCCGCCACCCACCCCCGCCAATGCTGTAAAGGGGACCCGCACACCTTCTCCCAAAGCAGCCTCTCCTCGTACACATGCAGTTGTCACCGATGAACCTGGCAATTACAACAAACTTCCATCCGGTACCGCGTCCGGGGTGAAGACTTCTGGCCGTAGCAGTTTGGACCACAAGAGCGCGAGCCACTCCCAAGAGTACAGCACTCTTGCCTCGGGCACGGCTTCCGGGATGAAGTCCAGTCTCTCATCTGAACAGGACGAGCAAGCATCGGGCGACCATGATGGCCCTCAGAGCGACTCTGGTCTTTACAATGTCCTGCCTTCCGGGACGCCTTCTGGTGTCAAAGTCGGGTCTGTTTCACGACCGACCAGGCATTCCGACCTTGCCGAGACCTCAAGAGTTGGAAACGGACAGGATAACAAACTTGCGACTGGCACCGCATCTGGCATTGACACTGAACATGCTGGTCAACAAGACGTGTCACACACAACCAGGAATGTCGTCGCTGCCCCCATGCCCATCCACGAAAAGGCCGATAAGCCTGTTGAGAAGCCTGCCTCTACCGCTTTTCCACCGCCAGATATGGCTAAGGAGATGAGTCCGGAAGTCATGCCCGATTCCTACCGGGAGCAGTCGCACCCTGTCGATCGCAGTACGCATCACGCGCACACGAACCGAGACTACTCTCCGAAAACTGATGTGACGGAAGAGTCCCGTCCTCAGAAGTCGACGATGGATCCTGCCGTCGCAGCTGCGGCCGGTGCATGGGCTGCTAAGGCCGGCCCCAGCTCTGGAGTTCCGGAGCAACCCAAGGTTACACACATGTGTGAGCACTGTGGGCGGGAGAATGACATCAGCTCCGTGTTTACCAAGGAGAATATTTCCAAGATGAACAAAAAGCACGGAAGCACTGGTAACTGGTGGCAGGATGCTTGGACGAGCTCGTAGAACATGCGGGGCGGACTGTATGAGTGATGACCGGCGTGTTTGTAGCGAGAGCATGTATCATTATCGTTCATTCTTAGCAACAGCTTTAGGCAACAATGGTATTTCTTGGAAGCTTCTGATCGCGGTGGCATGTGATGTGGCACACGTGTTCATACATGCAAATTTCCGAACTCTGTTGTTTCACATGAAGCGATGTTGAGGAACTTGGTGTGCACAGCCCCATGGCAATGCTAGTGATGAGTGACTGGAGTTTTAGGCGTCTGCCAGGGACCTTACATTAGGCGGTACCTCCTCTTACTACCCTTCACCATCTGCAGCTAGCACACTGAATGTTAGTTCAGTACATGGCAATCTTCTATAGGGGGGCAAAAAGGGATAGTTTGTCCACCGTGGCCGAGGATTTTGTAATCACTCTATCACAAGCTAGCAAGCATTGTGGATAATGCAGCGTGCGATGTTGAGAGCGAAAAAAAAAATGAACTCTGGGCGGGCTGGGAGTCGAACCCAGGTCTTCCAATGAACGCTTTGATAAGGAAAGATGGATCTGGAATAGAAAGCAACGCTGATTTTAAACACGCTCAGGGGATGCGCTGACCACTGCGCTACCCGCCCGTTGGGGGTTTTGTTGAAAGTGGTTGTGTGCTATAGACTTAAATACCTCGTTTTTTGCAACGCTAGACGCAAAAAAAGAAAAAAAACGGAGAGTCTTGGGCGGGCTGGGAGTCGAACCCAGGTCTTCCAGTGAACGCTTTGAGAATTTAGATTAGAGAAAACAACGCTGATTTTAGATACGCTCAGGGGACGCGCTGACCACTACGCTACCCGCCCTTCTCTTTTTCAGAGGGATTTCGTTATGTGGTGGTGTGTTGGTTGATGTTATATACGTAGGTACCCACGTTGCGTCCAAGGTTTCGGGTGGGTTTGGGTTGCAAGTTTAGTTGTGCATTTTTACAATGGGGGATTTTGTGTTCTTCCGCGACGGGGAGGTTGCGGTGTATCTATTTTGGAAACTTGTTGTATAGTTCCGATGTATTCATTTGTGTCGATTGGGCAAGGGGGTTCGGGAGAGATTTTTGGGGCTTTCTCCAGCGCAGCGTTCCGGTCCGCCGACAAACGGCGAGACGACTCTCATCCGGTCCTTTTCCTAGCGAGATGGGCATGAAAGAGTCGTCGGGCGTGTAGCTCATCTGGTAGAGCGTTCGCTTAGCATGGTGCCTGTAAGAATCGGTCATGCGAAAGGTACTGGGTTCGATTCCCAGCTCGTCCAGAGTGGGTTTGGGTGGATGGTGTCTTTGTTTCTTTTTGACCTCTTGCGATGAGGTTGATATTGTTAGGGTACTGCTTTAACGGATGCAAGGGTCTAAGCAAGGAGTGGTATTCGACTAGAATAAGAAGTATAAGGAGGAAGGAAATAGTCCTATCCTGAGCCGGCCCTGAGCCGGGGTGAGCAACGTCACGTGGGCGAGGTACGAAAAAGGAAATTTCGTGTGCCCAGATTCGTTGCACAAAATACCTTTGTCGCAGGCTTGGACCACAACTCGGCCTCACAGCTGTCAAGGAATGTTTCGCTCCACCATCTCCCTACCTACCTCTTCCAGGATGACCCACTATCCATGATTTGTAACCGTCAACTGCTCTGGCTATCGTAATGTTCTCAGTGCGGTATTACTTTGCGCAGCAGTACTTGAAATTGAAAGAAGACCGGAGAACATACTCCGTCGGAGTCAATGATCGGGGTCCTTTGGACTGTTGGTAGTTTGCTTTCAATGCACCATATACGACAGTGTTTAGAACCAACAGACTCCTTGGGTGCTTACCCTCAACCATGTGTTGGCAATCAGGAGTACCCCGAGCAGCGGATCCAACAGCGCGGCTCAGTCGCCTCACGACTTCAGGCAATATACGGAAAATAACTTGAGGCCACCAACAACCGATCGTTGGTAATCGGGTAATGAAATCAAGTAAATGATCCTAACTAAGTCGCCTATTATCTTGTCAGGGAGAGTTCCGGAAACAAGGTACGGAGAGCCCTCCCAGGCGTCAGCTAAAGTAACAATCTAAAGACCAATATACTAGTTAAAAAACAGGGAAGGTGTCACAACACACATTTTCATTTGATTCATATCTTGCTCTATCTTTATCTCGAAAGTTACTTGGTCGAAGGCTCCACAAACCAATGCCGCTCGACGCAGTCCTCGCCGGGGATGAGACTACGGCTTTGACGAATGTCCCAGAACGCGAATACTTGCAGAACGGAGTTAACTAGGAGTTTCACAGCCGTCATTTTCTGTCCCATCCCCTCTCGTTCCGATTCTGCCAGTTAGCACTGAGCTGCTTTGGTGAAGCTGGGTAGGTTAGGACGTAGAGCGGTTTTCCCCAGACCTCTCTCCCAATAGACACATAAATATATGTAAGGTATTCGGTGCTGTATTTAGCAATAATACGCTAGACAAAGCAAACCCGACTTGGGTACCAACTTGAGCTTTTAATGAATAAGACAGGTATTGTTTCATTCAGTACCTAGAATTCTCGATGGGTTAGCAAAGGGATGTCCTTACGAGGAAGGAGATAATATATCCCCAACCCAAGCTGCAATATAGTCTCGGTACTCTCGAGATCCCCAGTGCTAGTTAGCTTAGGCCCAATTCATGGACTTTGGACCTACAACACTCTACATACACATAGAACCAAACTTGAACTAGAACTTCAGCCAGACAATACGAAGTTAGAACTCGGAGTTTGGGCAGAATCGACCATCTTTAGGCATACCGTAATATACCACATGAAATTGATACAAATACACGCGTACATCAAAGATACTTAGCAGTGTAAACGCGCATCGTGGAATGGAATCGGAAGTTCGGCATAGTAGCCGGTGGGTTCACCCTTGGTTCTTTCCAACAGAGTGTTACTGTCACACCTATTTTTATGTAATTTCGGTATAGCTCAATCCATGGACGACGTCTGCCATCTTCGCTGGGGTCAACTTTCCTCGACCTCGTATCGAGAGCAAGTACGTACCTTATTCAGGATGTACGGCAGTACCAAAAGCTACCCGGTACATATAATCTTGAACCGCAACGAAGGGCCTTTTACGGAAAACCATACAAGGAGGGATTACCAACAAACAAACGTAATATAGGACAGCAGCCGATTCGGTTGTGTAACGTCCAACATCGCTAACTGTGGAGAGTCCCATGATCATGTCAGACAGGAAGTGCAGACAACGAGATGAGCAGGGTGGAAATCACCCGCGCCAGCTGCCCACCTTAGCTAGGTATATAAGCTGCGGTCTTTCTCGCATGCTTGACGGACATGATCCTCGCTATCCCATCCCAGTCCAACCTGACTCCCTACCTACCTACGAGTCCTGCCATTCCTCCCAAAGAGATTCACATACCGCAAACATGAAGGTAAGGCATACACACTCACCCACTCCTTGCAGAACATATCGACTGACCCTGAAATCGTAGGTCTCGGTTGTTGTCTTCTGCTTTCTGGCTGCAGCGAACTGCTCTGTGGTGCCACCCCATCGCACTTCTTCAGTCAACGAAACACTTATTCCCATTGACAAGCTCTCCAACCGTCTCATCAAGCGTGACGACGAGTGGACCTTGGTCCTCTACAATGCACACAAGAAAGGGGGGCAGTGTGGAGGGACCGGGGAGACCCGATCGGGCGACAGTGACAGGTGTGAGGATATTACCAACAAAAAGTGCGCCGACATCAGCGTCAACGCGAACGTTGGCATTGCATCGTGTAGCTTCAGCTTCAAATCTGAGAGCTGCAGTGGGCCGAGGAAGAACTACTCAGTTGTCCAGGGAGGAACCGATCAAAACGGCGTAGACTTGGATGACGATGTGAAATTTGTGAGTGTGTCCTGCAGTCTTGGTGGTTAGCCGTGATGGGACGGGATGGTTTATGTTAGTTGAGGTCTGGTTAGTTATATGGCATTTGAGCGTGAGATATACGAAGAGTGTAAGACATCGCATACTTCGAAATAGTTTTCTCTCAGTATTTACTCTTTGCTTTCATGTATCCCTAAAATAGCGATCGCATCATGAATCTTTCCTGTAGACTGAATTATTTGCCAAAAATTAGCAGGTTTCAGCTGTAGTACCTGGTACCCCTTTCGTTGCTTACCGGCAGCGCCTCGCGGGTCTACCTCCTTTTCTTTTTCCGGAACCCTTACTTGGGTAACCGTGATCCTCGAGGGTGTTGGCCTGCAAGTTCCTTTCGTGGCTGTTGGTGGTGAGCTCTTGCCCACTTCGCATTATGATGTCACCGATAAAACATGCATCCGTGATCCGCCTGGAACTTTTCTCCCGCAGCACCGACAATTTGGAGGGTGCGCGGAAAGGGTGTGGAAAATAAGTTGGAAAAAAGGCCCGACATTACCCACCGTGACGGGTTCTATACCTTGCCCATCATGGGACTCTTATCCGGGTCAGTCATGTCTTCGCTCTTGGCCGGTGGCAACCATGAAGCGCATTTCATCTTTGCATTTGGGTGGGTGACACGACCATTTATCTGTGGCGCAGCGCCTGGACAGATTTCCCTATGATTGGACTAGACTGGCCCATTTGCCGACCAGAGGGCGGGGGACACGTAATATTGAGCGAGTTCCCACCAGACGGCAAACTATCCATCCTCCTCTTCCAGTCATCTCCGAGCACGAAAGCCTCTTGTGCAATCCGACCTGATTTCTCACAAGATAGACCAAATATAAGCATTACCTTTCAACATCGCAAATGGCACAGCACGAAGGTACCGAAGCCGTCTCTAAAGGTAAGGCGCGAAGGCCCTTTCTGGCAGGCCCGGGGATTCGATTCCGTCCATTGGACTTGGACTGACCGTGAGCATAAGCAGAGACCCAGGATACTCAGCAATGGGAGGTGGTCGGAAAGCCTGCCAGCGAGCCTAATCCCGCCCCAGAAAGCGAGACGACTGTCCATGGACGAGCAACATCCAGCCACTTCGACCTAAAGATTGGGTGGGGCAAGTACAAGCTCACATTGCTCAGCTGGGACATCAACACCAAGAATAGCACGACGGAGAAGGAGGCATAAAGACGGCCAAGATACATCAGTGCCAAAGAACCTACTGCCATACATGCGGTGAAGAATAGCAGCGAAGGATAATTCGAGATAGAAATGGGCTGGTCAAGGTCCAACTTGGCATTTCTACCATGCGAGCGGCTGCGTATTTAGTGCTATATTAATACCTTATCTATCGAGCTTTTAGCTAAAGACTTTCCGACAGGAGACGACTCCCAAGCCATCCAGTCGCTTGCCTAGGTACGCCAACAAAAAGGGCCAGACCGCATTATTTCGGGCTTGTTTCTCAGGGACTAATGTCGAAGTCATGATCCTCCTGGACGCCGGAGCAGACCCTTGCATCCAAGACGCCGATGGCTGGACGGCGCTCCACGAAGCGGTGGCTCGTTGTAACTGTGATGCCACCATATCGCTCGTTAAACACGGAGCGAGTCTCGACGTCGCCACCAAGTCTGGGGACACGCCGCTTGATGTGGCACGCAAGTTAGTGGAGATGCACAAAAAGTAGATCCAACACATAGTTATCGAAGGAGATTGAGGACTCCGATGGATTGGCAGATAAGTTCCGGCGTGCCTTCGTACTTGTATTCCAGGAAAACTACCCCACGTGCGAGACAAACGGGCAGGAAATAGTAACAAAAAAGAGTGTGGGAAGAACACTTCTAATAAAAAATAAAAAATAAAAGAACACGGACAGCAAGCAAGCCACTCTTTCTTTGATCGAACCCAGGCTCGATCTGGGGACCTTCAGTGTGTTAGACTGACGTGATAACCAACTACACCATCCGACCGATGAGGGAATCATTGCTTGTGTCTGTGATTGGACATCAATGGGAAGTTCGTTATAAAACAGAGGATTATGTTGGGGGACGAAGAAGACAAAAAGAAATCCACAAGGGTGTGGCCGAGGAAATTGAGCCCACCACTCCCTTTTCTTTTCTTTTTTTTTGTTCATCAACCAGCATTCGCCAGACTTCAGCAGGAACGATATTTAGTTCTCGAACCTTTTCGATAATCTAAGGATCCAGATACAAGTTTATTATCGTTCGGGTGATTTTTGACCCACACCTGTACCGAAACTCGACAGGAGCGGAAGAGAGGCGGAAGTGCCCCGGAACTTTGCAGCGGACCGTTTCCCGTCTCTGTTCCGCCCATGTCGAGTCTTACTCACCTGCTCCTCTTGGATCTTACGGGGATGGTGGTACACAAC